TATTAGACTATTTAATTATTTTTAACTTTAAAAAGGGTTCTTTTGTACTGTGAAAGTAATGTAAAGCTGCAGATTACTTTTTCTGTTCACCTCTTGTGGAAAGTTTATAGAGGAACTTTGTATGTGGAAAGTTTTTTTTTTTTTTTTATAGAGGAATTTTGATAGCATAGCTATGAAAGTGCAACTGAGTAGTTCTATTATATTAGAAGAAAAAATATTGAATATTTTTTTTTCTGCCTAAATATACATTTTTTTTTTTAATTAAGCATATGTATTCATTTATAATATTTGTATTTTGAGGTAGATATCTGCCTACATGCTGCTATGTTGTGTATATATACCTAGACCATTGTTGAACTGTATGGACCACAAAGCAAAGGTTTGGGGTATTCCAGCATACTGGAAATCTAAATTTAGAATATAAAAAAGCAATTTTAAGTTTGGATGGCAATGAAATTTGTAGTTGCATGCTTCTGAAAGACGCTAATAAAATGTATACCTTGGGTCTGACTTCCTACACGTTTATTTATAGTTGACTGAAAAGAGGACTAGCATATTATCCTTGAGTGCACTTGTATGAAAATATGTATAAAGCCATCCTAGTGTATGAGTAACTATGAACTTTGTGTTATCATGCTCCATAAATTTAGTTTGTATTTAATATTTTAAATGAAAACAAATTATCTTAAATAATGAATAACAAAAGAGTTCCTGCATATGATTTTCTATTTCTAAAACCAGTAGTTTTAAATTTAGGGGTATAATTATTGAGAGTTCAGATCACCAACATCCCTTGTCTTCCAAATAAAATGGCAAAAAAGTCTAAAATCATAAATCCTTATTCACTTATCCATAATGAATTTAATGGGAATTTTTAAAGCTGAAAATAGCAGTTTAATGATGATGTTGATGATAGATATGTTGAGGTGATATTGTTGCTGTGAGAGTCAAGGATTCTTATGCGTATCATTTATTGGACTAACTGCATGATTGTGATAGACGTGGGCAAGCTTTCAGGTATTACAGTACTCTTCCTCAGGCCTGATGCCCAAAAGCTTGCCTATATCTTTTCCAACCATGCAGTTGGTCCAAAAAAAGACATCACCCACAAGAATTCTTACCTGTCGCACATTTCTTGGACCATCATGGCAACAACGCCATCTCAACATCTATCATAACGTGGAAGACGCTGAAATTTGCCACTTACAGTCAATAGAAATGCCATTTAAGTGTGTGTAATAGTAACTGTTGTGTGTGTGCTTGACTTCTGTTTGAATTCTTAGGTTGCCTATCAGGGTGATCCAGAAGGTGCCCTTATTCAGTTTGCCACACATGAAGAGGCAAAGAAAGCTATATCAAGCACAGAAGCAGTATTAAATAATCGTTTTATTAAAGTCTATTGGCATCGAGAAGGCAGTGGTCCACAAATGCAGGCTATCCCACAGAAGGTAAAGAAGTTAATTCTATATACTGCCTGTAACAGAATTTAAAATTGATTTTTTCAATTAGTATTTTTAATTAAATTGCTAAAAGGTAGACAAGTTATTTTGGAGTGTAAGGTTTAAAAGAATAAAACTACCTTTATTAATTTTCCTTGGACCCTGGTTTTGAGTTTCAAGAGCTGATTAGTAAGATATGAATTAAGGTCCTTAGCTGAAATGGTTATGTTGACACCATTATGTGTTTTATGGATTATTCTGTTCCATTTAACCATCTGTAAAGTTTAAATGAGGCTCTGAAGTAGCATTTACTTTGTTAATTATCATTTGCTCTGTTTATCTGATGCAGCCTTTTCTTTGTAGCAGACCATTAGAAGAGAAGAGTGTCAGATAATGCATTTTGTTTTATGAAAGGCCCTTTTCCCAATCTTTTATGCTCCCCTGAAATATCCTTTTCCTCCTAAATACTTTCCGTCCTGATCAGTGGCACATCCTTCTGCCTATAGACTTTTCCACTGTAGGGGTTTGAAGGACAGAGTTCAGCTTCTACTGAGTGGGGAAAAATAGCAAAATTGAACTTTCATTGAAACATAAGGCTAGAATTTACAGGATAATGGGAAATGCAGTAACATTGAAGATAGAAACTGCAGAACAAATGAACCCAGATTTTTGTGCCATTGATGTTCTGTATTTTATGACCATAAGCAGGAATAACTTTTGTAATATGTAATTAATTTCTGGTCCCATACCTGCAATTTGTCTAAAAACTAAAATTTAGTTTTTACATCCCTTTCTTTTTTTTGTACCAAGATCTAATTTTGATAAAATTAGTTTACCTCTATTTGTAACAGTGTGACTTCCCAGAGTTGTTTTTCCCCCTGCCAGTACTAAAGGCAGAACTTTATTTCTTGAATTTGGGAGGAAGGGTGATCTGTTTTTGTAATCGCCCTGTAAATGTCCCAGTTAACAGCTACTATATCCAGATAACTTTCTGGATCTGCTTGGAAAAACTGCTGGTAACAAAGATGATTTTCATTAGGTTCTGTTAAATAATTCTTAGAAAGTGGTTGTGATCAGACTTGAGTGTTTTTCAGTCACAAATTTATTTATTTTTTCCAAACCAAACAGAATACTACTTTTCAGTTGGCCCCCATCCATCCTAAATCAGACTGTCTTTTACGTAATGTTTTTTCCCCTTTTATCTCGTTTGTAACCAAGCAACTGAAAGAAGTAGATACAAACAGAAAATGCATGTGCATGTTTGTATTTTCATAATTTTGCAAATAAGTAGTTGAAGTAGCAGAGGGGAATTTAGTTTCTGAAAGGACCAGAATTATGGCTCTTACTATTTATTCAGTGTCACTTGCCAATTTAACAAGTGAAATGAAGAATACTGGATTCAAAGTGCTTCATGGGAAGTACACTAGCAACTTTTTGATCATATTTTAATGTGAAAGAATAACAACACGTATTTATGCCTATAAATTCTCACCAAAAAATCCAGCTATTGCTACATACATCGTGCAGTTAGTGTTAATCCCCGTAAAGTTAATACTTTAGTTGCCATGCTACAACTTTGTAATGGTAGGATCCTGTAACCTGCATGGTTGCTAGGCCTCTGCTGATGGTGTCAGAATGTTTCAATTTTCTTTTTTTTTTCTTTTTCTTATTTTTTTTTATAGGTAATACAGCCATTAGTTCAGCAACCCAGTTTACCAGTAGTGAAGCAATCAGTCAAGGAGCGTTTAGGTCCTGTACCTGCAAGTAATATTGAGCCTGTGGAAGCTCAGAGTGCCAATACAGAAAATGTTCAGGTATGTATAACGTTTGCTGTTGCAAAGGTCCATGATACAAATCTTTCCTTTTGTGTTTGTAGTGATGTATTGTAACGTTTTTCTAGTTTATACATTTTTTTATAGTGGCAGGTATCACGCAAACATGTCTGAAACCTCAAAAACTTTCTGATAAGATTTGATACAAGTAAAATTTCTTGAAAGTCTTTCTAAAAGTTGTAACAATTGGCAATTTATCTTAGGTCAAGTGCCCAATACTAAGGAGCTACTGTATTGTCTTACACACAACATTCATATTCTCTCCCCTCCCCCCACTCCTTTAAAATCAGCTCTCCAAATTCAGGGTGCATATTTCAAGTGCGGAAGTTGTTTGTACTGGAAAAGCAGCAAGCCTGGAAGCACTGAGCATGCCAGGCAGCTGCCAAGATGCCAACCACTATTCAGTAAACTGAAGAGTGGGCTCCTGTAGCATCCTTCCCACAGACTTAGCTATAGGCTGATCCCTGTAGCTTATATGTAGCAGCAAGTGAGCTGGTGGGAGTATCTTGATGAAGCTTGTGATGTGGAAACAAAACTTTTTATTTACAGGAACTTGTATAAAGAACTACATATAGTAAAGAGCTAACTGTCTTTCTGCTGCCCTTGCAGTGTAAACTTGTGTGACATCATCCTCTTAGAGTACTCCAGGAAGTATGGCATCCCAGGAGACAGTTTGGGTGAGGCAGCTGGCACCAGGAAGTTCCTTCTGCTTCTAGATTGTCTCCTGGGATGCCATGCTTCCTGGACAAAGAGGTAGGGAATCTGCAGCAAGTGCAAGCAGCTGGTTGCTGTGGAGGCGAAGACTCCCAGCCCACGATCGCAGCCGGGTTGCAAGCTGCGACTGTGCCAGCAAAAGGCTGACCCCAACCTAGGCATATGGTTAGAAATAGCTCTCTAGAATAACCATTGTCAGCCTTTCAAAGTAAGGGTTTCACCACAGAATAATAATCTGTATATTACTGAAGTTGGGAAGCATGCATTTAAATAAGCTGTCTATAAGCTTGGCCAAATAAAACTTCAACTATTAAGACATTTAATTTGTAGTATTTAAACAACTTCTGATTGTGAAATATTTTCTGAATATTTGCATGAAATTATAAAATCCAGGAACAGTACTTGTTGCGAAATACTGTTACTTTAGATGCCTTTGCTTCAGGAGGTGCTCATTTTGCATCTTGGATAGCAAAATAAGCCTTAGAAATTAAGCAGATTTGACTTCCAGTTTGGCTTGTCTTGACCATCTTCTAAATGTCAGTCCACTTAAGTAACAGCTGTGAGAAGCATAATAAATTAAACTGTTCAGATCCCTACATACAGTTCACTGCAAGTAAGCATACCACTGCCTTAAGAATCCCATTAACTTGAAGGTTTGGTGCTTAATTGCCTGTGTGGCAACCTTTCGACCCTCTCTTTAATGAGAGGGTTTTCTTACTAGAAACGGCCTGTTGTGCCACATACATGTGAGAATTTTTATTTGTACAGATTGGACACTTCAATGCAAATGTTATCACTTCGAGTGATAATGACATAGTAGACAGGGCTTTCTTACTGAGGTGGTTGTTGCCAGGTTTCTGCTATATAGCTGTTGCCTTTTGGTTTTACCTCCATGTGTTAAAGCTGTGCACTTTCAAATTCTTGTAAATCTAGTTTGTTGGTCACTGAACCTGCATTGAAAATATTCCAAAATATTTCTTGTTGTTGGTTTTATAGTTCCACTGTAGCAGTTAAATGATTTTACAGGAAGAATTTTATTTCAGGAGATCAGTTATGACAAAGATGCAACGGATTACATTTTATTTCGTAAGGTTCTTGTTGCTTGCAGAAATTGGAATCTTTACTTGCTAACAGTCAACACATTTAACATATTACATCTCTTCCATTAACCTGCATCATTAGAGGTAGATGGTCAGCATCTGACTTGAAAATACTTTGAAAAATGTTGTATTTCTTGTAATTAAAGGAATGCAGGTAACATAGTAAATGTATGAATCGTGAGATATTTCAGAGCAGATTTTTTCTCTTTGAAGGGTTCATCAAACACTATATCTGGTCTATAGCCAGACAGTTTCAGCATTTCTTTGGTTCATATACCAGAAGGAAGAAAGTCTTTAGCTTACGCTTCACAGCACAAGTTCTGAAAGGTGACATTTGGAAATCAGTGCCTGGATTTTCAGCATATTTTCAGCATATACAACTCTTAAGTTCAGGGGCTTCTCTAGCTAAGTTGCCTTGCATGTGAAAGAAGATACTTCTGGATATGGTATTGTAAAACATCTTTTTTCCAAAGTGACACCACCACATCTGCTATTGTTTGGACAAATTGTTGTCATCCCATCTATTCAGACCTCTTATCCCTAGGGCAGCTGATTATTCAAGCATTTAATAGTCTTTTATCTAGATGTTTAGATCTTAAAAGTACAGTATATGACTACTCTTTTGTTATGTTATGCTTTCAAAATTGTGTGGTTGGATTTTCATTATAAACTGATATAAGTACACATTTAGGAAAGAATTAATTTTATGTTTTGTTTTCGGTTAGAATGTAACTAAATTATCTGTGAAGGATAGACTGGGTTTTGTATCAAAACCAGCTACTCCAACAACTGAAAAGGTAAGAAAATACCATGTCTGAATGTTCCCTCTCCTCACATCTAATATATTCCTAATACCGAATTCATTTTATTTCAACTTTGCACTTACAAGTTTAAAAACAGTTAATGGCCAGTTCTATGTAGCTACATAAAGTATGTGTATACTACTTTTAGTTTAAATAGTTGATACGATTATAACAAGGTGGGTATGTACTCCTGTTTTACATTTGTTTTACATACCAAGTTGTCTTCATTCATCTACCAAAAAAAGGTGTTAAAGGTGAACTTAAATGCTTTTACAGTATCTGTTTAGTATCATGAGCTATTAGCAAAGTAGTTCTGTGAACTTTAACTACCTTTGTAACATAAACTGAAAGGCCTGCTTTCTGGGGAAGGAAAGGCTCTCAGGTTTCTGTGTACCTCTTCAAACTGATATTACAAACATTTATCCCTTCATTTGTGCTTGGAATGATCCCATCCAGATGGTGTGTAATATTTATTTGGTGGAAGTAGTGTGCACCAGAAGTAAAAGTGACCTTTGCATAAGAGGCAAAGAACCAGAACACCCTCTAGAATGATGCAATAGTACTGTATTTACTTGAATCCAAGAGAAGATTTTTTTTCACCATTCAACATGGGGGGTGGGTATCTCAGATTCCAGTACCAGCCCAGCTGGGGCTACAGCTGTCATTTGCCCTGAGCTAGGGCCAGAGCTGTCACTCCTGTTGCTGCCTGGCTAGGGCCAAGGTGATTCAAGATGGCTCACGCACGCAGCAAGTGGTGTGTAGGGGAAACAGCATGGTATGGAAGAAGTGGGGGCATAGGAGATGCTCTGATCTACCCCAGACCACACACAGCACCAATATGCTAGCTAGATATCTGGAGTATTGACTTTGACATTTTGTTAATTCTGTACCAGAGTTCCTGAAATTACTGCTTTCTTTTTGCACTCAAGTATTTGTGTGCATTTGTATTAAAAAGATATGTAGTTGTATATATTCTAAGTCTATTATGGTTTGAGTGGAAGTCCTTCCTTTTATTCTCCTCTCATACAATTTGAGTTTATTAACACATTTCTTTGAAGTGCAGATCTATATTAAAATGTTTTTTTTTCACTTTGCTGTGCACTTAGGCAAATATTGGTGGGAATTTGCAGTTTGTATATGTTTACACATTGAGTTAAGGGAAAGCATCATTTTGCCCAAGTTCCAGACCTTGAAATTGGGTCTGACCAGTTTCTGGCTACTGTTTCTTTCATCATTTGCGCTGTTGTATGGGCCAGACCATTTCTTTGCAACTGCTGTGTCTGTGTACAAACTGATCAGCTGTTAAGAGCAGGGTATTTTCCTAGAGTATGTCCTTGTTGCTGAATAGGAAGATGGAGTAATAGGATGCAATTTAAGACATCCTTGTAAAGTTGCTACACCCCTGAGAACATAGGACATTTATACATACATGTTTGTCTTCTCTGACACTGGAAATCTAGCGAGTCAGAGCAAGCTCAATTAATTGAGTCTGTGGAGCATGAGAACTGACGCACCCAGGACTGCGTCATATATGTTTGTATAAATGGCAAAAAGTGCATCAGCACTGAGAAAATGACAGCAGTGTGCTTTGAAACTAAAACACCTTTAATGTGTTTTAGTTCAAAAGTGCACTGCTGTATTACTGCTGCAAAAGTGCAGCCGGACACTGCATTACATGCATGTATGCATATGCCTACAGTGAGCCAGGTTTGTCTCTAAGCAGCTGTAAGAGAAAAGGTTCAGAAACAGAAATGGTGATCACCTGCTTTAGGGCTTTGGGTAAGGGCTGAATAAGGTGGCTTTCCCACCTTTTCTTCCCATACTGCATATACTTCCCATACTGCATATACTGGGGAGGCTTACCTCACTTCTGAATAGATACATCTGTTCTGTTGTTTCTTTTCTGTTAAATGTCTAAATGTTAAATTGTTTCCTTTTTAATAGGGCACTAGCAGTGTTTTGGGAGAAAAGGGTAGATAGATACATGTCATTTTTTTGCTTTTTGTTGTTTTCCTGCCTGTTTGAAGAAGATTGCCCTGAAGCTATTTGTTGAAGTACTATTTGCCAGATGTTGGTGTTTTATAACTTGTTAAAGCAGCATTTCAGCTCACCTTTAACAGCCCACTTAAGCACCCCTGATGGGCTTTTATAATATACCATTTATAACGTACTAATATTTTTTTCCTACTCTCTCAGCAGATCCACTCTAGAAAATACTTTAGTAGTGGAAAGAGTGGAGACAATAGATATAAAAGTAGTAAAGACCTTTTTGTGAAACATTTTCAATTGTAAATCTCCCTTAGTTGTAGCTGGTCTTCTAAGCCTTTTATCTTTTTTCCCGTTTCTTTCCTGTTGCTTTTTTGTGCTATTAAGTGTTAGATTTTTTTTTATGAAGACACAGCTGTCTCACGAGCAATCTCCATGCAGCTTTATTTTTAATTTTCCCTTAAATTTATATAGGAACTATTGTAAATATCTTAGGATTTAGATGCATGGTATATATAAATGCTGTATTTGATAAGAAGTCAGACAAAACCATACGTGCATCTTCTCTGGCCTTTGAAACTCCATAGTGGCCTGATCTTTAGGAACACTACAAAAGCAGTTTGCTTCAAATCCTTAGCTGTGGTGGAGAATGGCATATGTTAAGGAGGGCCTACTGAAGTCACACTTGTACTTCTCAACCTGGGCCTGACTCTGTCAGTCCAGTCTGAACATAACTGAAAAACATGCAAAGGCTGCTTTAAGTTGCATTGGTTGCTGACTGCCTCCCAGGATCACCCTTGAGCTGAAGATTAGTAAGGCATAGGGAAATTTTATAGTGCTGCATTACACATGAAGCAAGGGAAGTGAAGTTGACACTAAAATCCCTTTCTGTGCTCTGTGGTGCTAAAGAAAATCTCCCTTTTACTGTTTATTTTAGCCTTGCTTTGCATTTGACTTTTCATTACAGCTACAATGTCTGCTCTGAGCATTCGTGTTTAAAATTAGGGTACTGTCCTGTATTTTAAGTGCATGTAATCACAAGTAACAGCCTTTTAGGTAGAAAATTTTAGGACTAATTGTAGTCTCAGGTACACAGCACCAGAGCTGAGTCATCTTACTTTTGATCAAATCCTAAAAAAGCTTCTGTTTAAATTTTTAAGCAGTATTTGTAATTGCACTGTAAAACCTATTTAATCAGAAAACATTTAGAATACTTGATGTGGTGCATTTTTATTAATTGCTTAACTCCAAGCTATCAGAAACATTTTATTACTCTATAATTTTTATCAGCCTTTTAATCAAAGGAGGCAGAGGTCACTGGTCTTATGAAAAATGTTTTTTTTAAAACATTTCTGTTTTTAAAAGTAAAAAATATGAAATTACTAGCAAAAATTAAATGGTTTCCTCCTGTAGGTATTGTCCACTTCTACTGGCTTGACAAAAACTGTGTACAACCCTGCTGCTTTGAAGGCAGCACAGAAATCTTTGCCTGTTGTTTCCACTTCCGTGCTAGACTCTAATGAAGCACAGAAGAAAAAACAGGTAAATTAAACATACTTCTTAAATGTATATAAAATAAATAATAGATTTAGGAATTTGTAACTGTTAGAGGTTGTACGAACATATCTCATAACTGCATAGGTGGAATTAGTAAATCAAGTGTTCATCGCAGAATAGAGTTGGTTTCAAAAAGCAACAAAAGTAAAACTTTTGTTTTGTAGTACTTGTTGAAAGTACTTGTTCCTTTTTGTTTACTTGTTGCAGTGTATTTTCTATCAATTTACTGAAGATCAGTAGGGACACAGCATATGAAGCTTTTGTAATGGGAAAAAGAATCTTCACATTTGGGATGTTGATTTTTCTTCGTTAGTTGGAAGAAGGGTATACAGTATAATCCTAACTTTGTTTCCCAATTGTCTCTTGTTTGCTGTATTTGGATCCTCTGTGATCAATATTTGCCCTCCTCAAGTGAGAATTGTCCAGCCTTTTAGCCTGTTTTAATTGTACTTCATCACCTTCATTTATTGACTTAAGTATATTAAAAAATACTAAAGTCCCAATTTCCTTTTGAGTATAAGGCAAATAAAGCCAAAAAAAATGCCTGGCTCTGGATGAGACTCACCTGCTCAGTTTACGTTTTTAAAATCACTTTTGGGTTCTCTGGTTCACTTTTACTTGAGTAAACTAAATATAGATTGAATATGTTGTCTTTGTTTATGAGCGCACAAGTTGAATCCATTCGATTTAGGTTTATACAAAATCATTAAGGACAATTTAGCTCCTAAATGGAGAGTTTAGGCTAATGGACATTGTCTGTAAGGGTTTTCAATTTTTTTTACTTTAAGCAGGGCTTTGTGACTATATGTAACATGGGACCAGACTCCTTTGGCACATATATGACACTTATAGCATGATATTTGGAAGTTCTCAGTACCTGTAGCACCCAGTGACATAAACTAAAATTGCAGTTGCTTAGCATCTTTGAAAATAATCTGATGAATATCTAACGTTAGGTGTCAGAAATTAGAAGCCACTGGTTAAAATCTCAACTACAATACTGAATAATCATTTTAAAGGAAGAAAGAACTAAAGTTCTGCAACGTTAAGTGGCTTATTTCCTCATGCTTTTTTCTGTTTAGAGAGATTTCTGTTATAAACCTTTTACTTATGAGAAAATTATGGCTCATTGTGATAGATGTAAGATACCCTTCTTTTCTTTTTTCTTATTTTCATTAGTTTTTCTCATCTCTTTGCCTTTTTATCTATCTTCCTTTTCTGTTCCCTTTTTCTTCATGCCCCTTGAGTGTATAATCTTCTGTGGAGGTTGCAGCTACTAAAGAATATGATTGCACATGTAACGTAACATAACATACCAAGTGAGCAGAATTTAAGATGGTATTTAGGAGGATATACAGATGCAGCATTAGTATTTTTATTATGGCTATTGGTATACTTTCATTCTACATGGAGTAATTCTGTGGCAAATACCCTTGTAGTTTGGTTATACTAGCCTGTTGACTCATGCACGGGTGGGTTTTTACATTTCTTCGTCTCCATGTCAGGTATGTTGATTAATTCTTTCTCAATGTCCTGGGGCCTAACCCCTTACTCCCGTTCTTTGTCTGAGATTAAGGAATATACATATCTATACATTTTGATCGGCATTAGAGGAGCTGAGCTGCAGCTCTGGCCTGGTCTTTGCTGCCCTCTAAGTATAGGTTTTTCACAGTAATAAAGCAGACAAATGTGTGTTTCTCATTTGTGCATTCATAAGTGTCTTCAGAAAGAGTTACATTCCTAATAGCTTCAAGATAAATCTTTGATGCAACTGATTAGCTTCTTTCTGGGTAGAAAGCTTAATTATTTTGGTTATGGTATCAAAGTTTCACCCACCCCTCCAAAAAAAAACCAAACCAAAACAAAAAACAACAACCAAAAAACACCCCAGCTTTTTAATGTACTTTTGACTTCCTTGATCTGGAACTATACCACAAAGCTTAATTTACTGAATCCTACAACATATTTTTTCTATGTGTCTGAGCTCTTGCTTATAAGTTATGTAAATTAATTTTGTGCGTTAAAAATACTTCCTCTGGTACTGTGGAGTACAATATCCTGCCTTTCACTGACATACTGATCTGCTATAGATGATTTACCCTAATTGCAATGAAGGAGGGATGCTTAATCCATGTGAGGAATGCACCTGCCTAATTCAGGTTATCAAATCCTAATGTTTGACACTGCTTTCCCAAATACAGCAGTAAAAGCCGCATTATCTGGCACCTTACAAACTGGCATGATCTATTAACCGGCATGCCAGCTTGTAAGGTAAAAGCAAAACTGGAAGTGCCCACCGTGGCACTTCTGGTTTTGCCAAGACCCCATGGCCTGGGGCATAATAGTCTGTGCGGGGGCCTTTCCTCCCTGTCGCCCAGCATACTGATGCAGCGGAAGGGGCAGCAACGCGGTGGGAGAGGTGGTGGCGCACCGAATGCAGCAGAAGAGGTGATGGCCCGAGCAGGCAAAGATGCCTGTTTCGGCTTCTTGGGTAACCGGCATATTTGGTTATCTGACATTCCCCATTCCCCATGGGTGCCAGATAACAAAGCTTTTTCTGTACTGCGTTTGAATAGCCTTCTGTAAGTATATTAGTTTATATTTGTTACTAGAAATTTGGTGGTTATCAGATTTTCTAAATCATTTAACATAGAACTGTTTAGTCAATGACAGAATATTTTTCTATTGAGCAGCTCATCATTCAAAATCTAGAAACTTTCTGTAATCTTATAATCCTAGGAAGCACTAAGACTTCAACAAGATGTGAGAAAGAAGAAGCAAGAAATCTTAGAAAAGCATATTGAAACACAAAAGGTAAAATGTTAAATGTTGAACGTCCTTGATTTGAGTAAGATGGTAAAAATGAGTTGAAATCTGACTTGTAAAAGTCAATAACTTGCATTATTAGAATAATTAGAAATCTGTAGGCATGGATTGCAGTCTTTCTTTAGGGACACTATTATCGACAGTGTTCTGGTTCCTGGTTCTGACTCTTCCATCTTGAGACAGAGCGAGACTTGCATAAATATAAGTTTTAATCTTAACTGGGGAGACAGTTCTCCCCATGGTTGTGCTTGTCATGAAGTGGTAATAATGGCTGCTCCCTAGGTTCCTAGGTCTTTCCAACCCGTTTTTTTTTCCTTGGATGTGGTCAGCAAAGAAGCCACATGTGACTTTCAGCTGTTGCTACTTCTGAACATCTTGCAGTCTTGTTCCTTAAGTATCTATAAATACTGATCTCTGAAACATCTTACTCTTGTCCTGCTTTGTTGCTAACTCTACAGTAAATCTTTAATGCTTTTGATAAGTTGCTTTATTTGTCCTTGTAGTACCAAGTCTGTCAGCTTTATGGTTTGGCACAGAATTGCTGTCCATACCTGTATTCTGTAGATCAGGTTGTCCTTCTTGGCACTAAGGCTCAGAAGTAAATGTCTGACAAAGTTCTGTTCCAGATGGTGAATATGACTGCTTAGTGTACCCTA